ACTTAGAGAGAAATTTTAAACCTTAAATGCACACGTTAGAAAAGAAAGGCCAAAAATCAATAATCTAAGCTTTTATCTTAAGAAGCTGGAAAAAGAACAGCAAATCAAATGCACATAAATATGGAAGAAAATTTTATACACACACATAAGCAGAAACTAAAGAAATGACAAATACACAACAGAGGAAATTAGGAAAACTGAAAGTTGGTTTCTTGTAATGATTGAAATTTAAAACTTTAAGACAATCAAGAAAAAAGGAGGAAGACACCAGCTGCCAATATCAGTAATAAACACACACACACACACACACACATGCACACACACACCTAGTAGCCTACAGCCTACAGACTTTTTTATTTTTATTTAAAAAATAAAAAGGGAATATTATGAACAATTTTATGTCAATAAACTTGACATTTATATAAAACAGAAAACATCCTTTAAAAACACAATTTTCCAAAACTGAAACAGGAAGAAATGAAGATCTGATTAGTCATATCTATTACATTAAAGCTGTTCATTAAAAACCTTTTCAAATTCACAATAGTGAATTATCCTGAATATTATGTCAAAATTTTCACTAATTTGTACAAACTCCTTCAGAGAGTAGAAAAATAGACAACATTTCCCAAATCATTTGGGTGTCAGCATAAATCTGAATAGGTTATAACTTTCAAACCTGAATAAGCTATTATAAAAAGATGACAAACTATTCTTATTTATAAATATATATGCAAAAATTCCCTTTAAAAATATTAGCAAAGGCTGGGCATGGTGACTCATTCCTGTAATCCCAGCACTTTGGGAGGCTGAGGTGGGCGGATCACCTGAGGTTGGGAGTTCAAGACCAGCCCAATCAACATGGAGAAATCCCATCTCTACCACAAATACAAAATTAGCTGGGCATGGTGGCACAAGCCTGTAATCCCAGTTACTTGGGAGGCTAAGGCAGGAGAATTGCTTGAAATCGGGAGGCAGAGGTTGCAGTGAGCCAAGATTGCGCCACTGCACTCCAGCCTGGGTGACAAGAGCAAAACTCCATCTCAAAAAAATTAAAAAAGAAATAAAAAATAAAAATAAAAGTATTAGCAAGTAAAATTTAGAAATGTATAAAAGAGAAATAATAAATTATTGGAAACTGGAATTTATTTTAGGAATACAGAGGCAGTTTAATATTTGAATATTGATTATTATGATTTACCATATTAAAAGATAAAGGAAAAATCATGATTATTTCAATGGATACAGAAAAAAGTCATGTGATAAAATTCAGTACACACTAATGGTAACATTATTAGCAAACTAAAATCGAAGCGAACTTTCAGAGTGACTTAAAAAACCTACAGGAAACATCATTAATGGTAAATTTTTGAAAACTTTCCTCTGGAGATCAAGAATGAACAAGGATACCTGTCTTTTCTTCTCCAATTTAGTATTTTATTACAGATCCTAAACAGCACAATAAAGCAAAGAAGGAATAAAGGCATATGATTAAATATGAATAAATAAATATGATTCAAAGGGACAAAATTAAAATGTCTTTTTAAGTAGGCATGATTATATGCATTGAAAGCCATGAAGAATCTACAGGCTACTGGAATTAATAAATGAAGTTAACAATGCCACTGAATACAAGGTCAACATACAAACATGAGTTGTATTTCTATGTAGCAACATAAAAAGTGAAAAATTTAAATATTATGCACAATGGTTTCAAAAATAGTATGACCAAATCTAGATGAATACTAGAATCTAGTATTCAGACTTCACTGAAAACTGTAAAATATTGAGAAAAATTAAAGAAGATCTAAATAATTACAGAAATATATAAGGTTCACTAATTGGAAGAGTCGATGTTGGGAATATGTCAGTTCTTTCTTAGTCAATCTATAGATGCAATAAAATCCTAAACAAAATTTCAGCAGATTTATTTATGAAAATTAATGAGCCAAACATTAAGTTTATTTTAACATATAAATAACCAAAGCAATCTTGAAGAAAAGGAGCAAAACTAGAGATACCACAGCAAAGTCATAATCCATAGAAGAAAGAATTAATAAACTGGACTTCATTAAAATTGAAACTTTCTGCTCTGCAAAAGATACTATGAAGAGAATGAAAAGACAAGACATAAACTAGGAGAAAATATTTGCAAAAGGCATATCTGATAAAGGACTGTTATTCAAAATATATTAAGAACTACTAAAACTCAGCAACAAGAACCAAATGGGCCAAAGACCTTAACAGACACCTCACCAAAGAAGATACACAGCTGGCAAATAAACATATGAACAGATGCTCCATATCATATGTTAACAGGGAAATGCAAATTAAAATAACAATGAAGTACAACTATACACCTATTAGAATGACCAAACTCCAGGACACTGATAGCGCCAAATGCTGGTAATGAGAGCAACAGGAGTTCTCATTCATTGCTGGTGGGAATGCAAAATTGTACAGACACTTTGGAAGACAGTTTGGCAGTTGAATACAAAACAAAACATACTATTACCATGTGATCCAGCATTCATGTTCCTTAGGATTTTCCCAAAGGAGTTGAAAATTTATGTTTACACAAAAACCTGTGTAGGGATATTTATAGCAGTTTCATTCATAATTATTCATAGTTATTCATCAAAGATGCCAAAACTTGGAAGCAACCAACATGTCCTTCATGTTGGTGAATGGATAAACAAACTGCAATTTATTCAACCCATAGAATACTATTCAGCATCACAAAGAAATGAGCTATCAACCTATGAAAAGACAGGGAGGAAATCTAAATGGATATTACTAAGTGAAAGAAGCCAATCTGAAAAGACTACATACTGTATGATTCCAACTACATGGTGTTCTAGAAAAAGCAAAACTTTGGAGACAGAAAAAAAAATCCATTTGCAGTGGGTTCTAGGGGAGGGAGGGAGGTATATGTAAGTGGAGCACGAGGGATTTTTAGGGCAGTGAAACTACTTTGTGTGATACTATAAAGGTGAATCCATATCATTTTAAATTTGTCCAAAGCTGTAGACTATACAGCACCAAGAGTGAGCCCTAATGTAAACTATGGACTCTGGGTTATAATGATGTATCAGTGCAGATTCATCAGTTGTAACAAAGGAACCACTCTGGTGGAGGATGTTGACAATGGGTGAAGCTGTGCTTGTGTGGAGACACGGGCATATGTGAAATCTCATTTTTGCTGTGAACCTAAAACCCCTCTAAAAGTAAAATGTATTTTTTAAAAACTTGAGAACTTACTTCTCAGACAACAAAACTCATGATAAAGCTATAATAATGTTATTGTAGGATAAACAAGATTAAATAAAACATCTTCAGCGCTATGGTCTCTTGATTTATAACAAAAATGACACTTCAAAAACAATGGAAAATGGATTGTCTTTTAGATAGATGGTACAAAATGTTTGACTCCAACCTTATTCACTTGAAAAAATTAATTTCAGGTTGATTATAGCTCTAAATGTGAAAAGTGGAATAATTAATCTTTCAGAACTATATCATACAAGAATATTTTCGTGACCTTGGAATTTGCCAACATTTAAATAAAACACAAAAAGATTAAATGAAAATTATTGACAAATCTGACTAAAGTTAAGAAATGTTATTCATCAAAGATGCCATAATAGACTTGAAACATAAACCATAGAGTGGGAAAAGATGTTTGCAATACATGTATCTGAAAAAGGACTTCCAGAACATATAAGAAACTTCTGCAGAACAAACAGGCAAATGCCTCCCCACCAGAAAAGTACAAAAGATTTGCATAAGCCCTTCACAAGAGTGTGTCCTCATGGCCGATAAACATGAAAAGGCTCAAATTGTTTAATCACCAGTGAAAATACTAACTAAAATTACAATATGGTATCACCACACACTCACCAGAGAGGGTTAAAATGGAGAAGATAGCATCAAATGTTGACAAGAATGTGGAGCAACTGGAACTCTCATACTTTGCTGGTATTAGTACAACTACTTATGAAAATTATTCCATTATCTGCTAAAGCAAAATATGTGAGCACACCTTAATACATAGCAATCCAACTCCTTTGAATATATTCAACATAAACACATATGTGTGGTCACCAAAAGATTGGTGTTTACAGTACTACTGTAAACAGGATGTTTACAGTAGTACTACCCAAAATAGCTTAAAACTGGAAAAAATCCAGTGTTCACCAACTGGAGAATGGATAAATAAATCATAGTATATTCATACAACAGAATAATATAAAGCAATGAGAATAAAAAAATTAGAACAAGATGCCATAGATCAATTTGACAAATATAATATTGAGAAGTCAGACACATGAGAGTAACAATCTGTATACAGTAACTTTATACAACTCCATTTGTATAAAGTTTAAAAGAAAAAAGGCAAAAAAAATCTATGACCACAGAAGTCAGGATGGTGCTTATCTTTTGGGGAGAGGCTAGTAACCAGACAGTAGCAGGTGGGGACTTGAGTTTGAGTAGTATTTTATTTTTAATCTAGGTTTTGCTTATAGGAGTGTGCTCACTTTGTGAAAATTTATTGAGTCGTACACCTATGATTTGTACCATTTTCTGGATGTTATTGATGTTTACTTCAAAAGTAATTTTTCTTTAACTTTAAATTTCTGTAGATATTCATAATTACGTACTGAATGTAATCAAATAAGAAACCCACCAAAAAAAGTATGTTTGTGTAGTCAAAGGTTCTTTTATGGAGAAGACTAATATATAAGTAACATATATTAATAATAAAACTTATTAATATATAAGTTTAGTTTGTTCTCAAAAATCTCTCACTGAAAGTTAACTCTGCAAAGTTAACTGGAAGTTATTTAGAACTTCCAGTAACTAGGAACTGGAGATATCATCGAGAGAGCTTATATGACGAAAGAGTATGGATACACATCAAGGTTACAATTTAGGATGAAATGACAAATACTGTATGCAATAGTAAATTAGGACGCCTGGTGGCGCTGCAGGCTAAGAGTGTGAATAGTGGGCTCTGCGGATAACCCAGGCGCCGTTAAGCTGGGGAATCCAAACTGAATGCTTCCTAAAAGGACGCATTTTAGGTAAGATCTAGTGGCTAAATCTTCAGAGTGGACGTCGTTCTTGTGCAAGTCAGTGAAGAAAGACTGAATTGGCAGTTATTTAAGCAAATCATCTGGGTGGATTGTATACCGAGTTGAAGAAACTGCGCTTTCTGGACCGGGTCTGAACAATGGAGACTGCGCTAGCAAAAACGTCACAGAAAAGGCAAGTTATGTTTCTTGCTATACTGTTGCTTTTGTGGGAGGCTGGCTCTGAGGCAGTTAGATATTCCATACCAGAAGAAACAGAAAGTGGCTATTCTGTGGGCAACCTGGCAAAAGACCTGGGTCTCAGGGTGGGGGAACTGGCCACTCGGGGCGCGCGAATCCATTACAAAGGAAACAAAGAGCTCGTGCAGCTTGATATAAAGACCGGCAATTTGCTTCTATATAAAAAACTAGACAGGGAGGTGTTGTGCGGGGCGACGGAACCTTGTATACTGCATTTCCAGCTCTTACTAGAAAACCCAGTGCAGTTTTTTCAAGCTGATCTGCAGCTCACAGATATAAATGACCATTCTCCAGAGTTCCCAGAGAGGGAAATGCTCCTAAAAATCTCAGAGGGCACCCAGCCTGGGACTGTGTTTCCTTTGAAAACAGCACAGGACTTTGACATAGGTAGCAACACTGTCCAGAACTACACAATCAGCCCCAATTCCCACTTTCATGTGGCTACTCATAATCGCGGAGACGGCAGAAAATACCCAGAACTGGTGCTGGACAAAGCGCTGGACCGGGAGGAGAGACCTGAGCTCAGCTTAACACTCACGGCACTGGATGGTGGGGCTCCGCCCAGGTCCGGGACCACCACAGTTCGCGTTGTCGTCTTGGACAATAATGACAACGCCCCCGAATTTTTACAATCACTCTATGAGGTACAGATTCCTGAGAACAGCTCCGTTAACTCCTTAATTATCGCTGTCTCTGCCCGAGATTTAGATGCAGGAGCGTATGGGAGTGTAGTCTATGCTCTATTTCAAGGTGATGAAGTTACTCAACCATTTGTAGTAGACCAAATAACAGGAGAAATTCGCCTGAAACGGGCATTGGATTTCGAGGCAACTCCATATTACAACGTGGAAATTATAGCCACAGATGGTGGGGGCCTTTCGGGAAAATGCACTGTGGCTATAGAAGTGGTGGATGTGAATGACAACGCCCCTGAACTCACCCTATCGACGCTTTCCAGCCCTACCCCAGAAAACGCCCCGGAAACTGTAGTTGCTGTTTTCAGTGTTTCTGATCCAGACTCCGGGGACAACGGTAGGATGATTTGTTCCATCCAGAACGACCTCCCGTTTCTTTTGAAGCCCACATTCAAGAACTTTTACACCCTCGTGACACAGAGAAAACTGGACAGAGAGAGCCAAGCTGAGTACAACATCACCATCACCGTCACTGACTTGGGGACACCAAGGCTGAAAACCGAGCACAGCATAACCGTGTTGGTCTCCGACGTCAACGACAACGCCCCCGCCTTCACACAAACCTCCTACACCCTCTTCGTCCGCGAGAACAACAGCCCCGCCCTGCACATCGGCAGCGTCAGCGCCACAGACAGAGACTCCGGCAGCAACGCCCAGGTCACCTACTCGCTGCTGCCGCCCCAGGACCCGCACCTGCCCCTCGCCTCCCTGGTCTCCATCAACGCGGACAACGGACACCTGTTCGCCCTCCGGGCGCTGGACTACGAGGCCCTGCAGGCGTTCGAGTTCCGCGTGGGCGCCACAGACCGCGGCTCCCCGGCGCTGAGCAGCGAGGCGCTGGTGCGCGTGCTGGTGCTGGACGCCAACGACAACTCGCCCTTCGTGCTGTACCCGCTGCAGAACGGCTCCGCGCCCTGCACCGAGCTGGTGCCCCGGGCGGCCGAGCCGGGCTACCTGGTGAGCAAGGTGGTGGCGGTGGACGGCGACTCGGGCCAGAACGCCTGGCTGTCGTTCCAGCTGCTCAAGGCCACGGAGCCCGGGCTGTTCGGCGTGTGGGCGCACAATGGCGAGGTGCGCACCGCCAGGCTGCTGAGCGAGCGCGACGCGGCCAAGCACAGGCTGGTGGTGCTGGTCAAGGACAATGGCGAGCCCCCGCGCTCGGCCACCGCCACGCTGCACGTGCTCCTGGTGGACGGCTTCTCCCAGCCCTACCTGCCGCTCCCGGAGGCGGCCCCGGCCCAGGCCCAGGCCGACTCGCTCACCGTCTACCTGGTGGTGGCGTTGGCCTCGGTGTCGTCGCTCTTCCTGTTCTTGGTGCTCCTGTTCGTGGCGGTGCGGCTGTGCAGGAGGAGCCGGGCGGCGTCGGTGGGTCGCTGCTCGGTGCCCGAGGGTCCCTTTCCGGGGCATCTGGTGGACGTGAGCGGCACCGGGACCCTGTCCCAGAGCTACCAGTACGAGGTGTGTCTGACGGGAGGTTCTGGGACAAATGAGTTCAAGTTCCTGAAGCCAATTATCCCCAACTTTTTGCCCCAGGGCGCTGATGATGAAGTAGGGAAAACTGCAGCCTTCCGGAATAGCTTTGGATTCAAGTAACGATCTCATTATGACGCATTGTTTTGTGCCATTTATCCCAAAATTTTTCAGATCTAGAATTCGAAAGTGTCATGGACAAAAATTTCACCTTGAGATTTAGCTTTTATTTCCCTTTTTAATGGATCTGTCTGTTAAGCTTTATGTTGTCCAATTGTGGAAAATTAAATTTTATTTTCATTGCATTTATTTACAGAGACATTCCAAATTCATGCATGCTGTTGATTTTCCTGAGATTTTTCTCTTCTTTTTGGCTTTTGTTGTGATAAACCATCCTAATAAAATCACATATTAATTTTATTTTCTATATATTCTGCCCAGTCTATTTTATCACACTCTGAGTATTACATATTTGATGCTAAAATGCAAAACCTAAACATGTTTCATATCATTGTCTGTATTTAAAACAAAGACAAATACTTATGCTAAGAAATCAAATATGTTAGAAAATATGCAAAATGCAACAATCTTCTATTTACTCTTTTTTTGCAGTCCTGATTTCTATTAGCAAACTTTGAAAACAGTTTAATTGAATTATTACTTACATGAAGAAAAGTGAACAAATCCTTTATGTTCAACTCAATATATATTCCCAAAGTAATATATGTAGTACCAGCAGCTTGATGAGAAAATGGAACATCACTGGCACCCCAAGTGCCACAAAAATTACTCCTTACAATCACTACTAGCTCAAGTATAGCAAATAGGCTGACTTCCAATACCATAGTTTAATCTTGCCTCTTCTGAATTTATATAAAGGGAGTAATAGAGTATAAGCTGCCTGTGTGTGGCATTTTTCACTTAGCATTATGTTTATGAAATTTATCTGTAGTACAGCTTTTAAGTTTAGTCCTTTCATTCTCATTGCTGTATAATATTTCACTATATGAATATACCATGCCTGCAATCCCAGCACTTTGGGAGGCAGAGGAGTGTAGATCACCTGGGGTCTGGAGTTCAAGACCAGACTGACCAACATGATAAAACCTGGTCTCTACTAAAAATACAAAAATTAGCCAGGCATGGTGGCACATGCCTGAAATCCCAGCTACTCAGGAGACTGAGGCAGCAGAGTCTCTTGAACTTGGGAAGCAGAGGTTGCTGTGAGCCGAGATCGAGGCATTGCAATCCAGCCTGGGCAACAAGAGTGAAACTCCATCTCAAAAAAATATATGTATCCTTTAGATCAGTATTTGGGATGCGAAAGTATACTTCTATGAACATTCTTTTACATGACGTTTGGCAACCTGCATGCAGTTTTGTCGGGTGTATGCCTAGGAGTGAAATTGTTGCCTGTCTTGTAAGTACATGTTTACTCTTAGTAGACATTTCTCGATAGTCTTCCAGTGGTTGTACTAATTTACACTGCTATCCCCACTGTCTGGATGTACAAATTTTTCCACATTTCTGCCAACAAACTGGTCTGTTTTTTAATTCTATCCCATTGGCAAGCATTTTATACCTTTTTTAAAGCTTTTATTATATTATTTTTTTTTTTACCACTAAGGAATATGTTTGTGACTGTTATGAGCTGAACTGTGTTCCCGTACTCCCTCAAACTCATATGTTGAAACCCTAACTCCCACTACCTTAGAATGTGACTGTATTTAGAGACAGGTCCTTAAAAAGAGGTGATCATATCAAAATGGTTCATGATCTTAATCCAATACAACTGCTGTACTTATCAGAAGAGGAGATTAGAACATAGAGAAAGAGATGGCAGACATGTGAACCCAGAGAGGGTTGATTATGTGAAGATACTAGAAGATAACCAACTACAAGCCACAGAGAGAGCCCTCCTAGTGCAAACAACCCTGCCGACACATTGATCTTGGACTTTCAGTCTCTAGAACTATTAAGGAAAGAAATGTCTGTTGTTTAAGCCACCCAGTTTGTGGTATTTGCTACAACAGCTGAGCAAACTAATATAGTAACTTCTTCATAAACTTTAGGCAATTAATTTCCTATTGTGATTGCTGAGTAGCTAGCACACTTAAAACAACTTTCATCTTTTGTTTTTCAGATATAGCTATGTTACTATTTTTGGGTACTTCTCTGGTCAGACTGAAACCTCTCTTTATTGTTCCACTAATAACAGTTTCGTTTGATTTTTGTATGAAAAAAGAATAGCATTCTTATTCTTCCTTTTATATTTGATTCTCTCTTACACTTTCCAACCTCTCTCAGTTGAACTTCTACTTTTACATTTTTACCACCATAGCTAAGAATTCCTTGTCTTGTCTATAGACACATTTTAGAACATGAAGATAATATTTAAAATTTACTTTTAATGACTATATAAATTACGAATGCCCTGCAGTCCCAAATCATCAAGAACACACTGTATCAGAACAAAGTTGGGTTAATTGATTTGTTGCAATGAACGAGACTGCACACAATAGGAAACATGGGTCACTTTAGTAACAGGGTCTCACAAAGGAGCTATAGGATTTGGGCTTCTGTTAGGTGTTTTTAACGGAGGTTCAAGAAGTACAGGTTAGCTCTGGATTGAATGCTTTCAGAAAATTGGAGTAATTCTATATTATTTTAATGAATTTTACTTAGGAAGTGGGAAGAACACTGAAACTAAATCTGTAGTTGGTAAATAAGCAGTATTCACTCATACTAGTAAGGAAAAGGGGCTCTTTTGTCTTTTTCTTTTTTTGTTTTAGACATAGTGCTTGTTTTTATTTCTCCTTAAGCATGAAGTCTTGGTCCATCAGGGTCACAAGGATCTCTTCTGGTCTTGGTTTTCTATGAAACTGTTAGCATTCAATAGGAGAAGATCATGGCCAACATCTGAGTGCCAGAACAATTTCAGGTTATTGGGCTGATTCTCTTTCTCATTGTTCATTGCAGAGCCCTATTACTTACTGAAACCTTTAAGTAGTCTGGGAATCTAGGGATCTAAGTAATCTAAGATTTGAGATTACTTCATTTCTACTATTATTTTCTTAATGGTGTATCTCTAAGTTTAGTCTCATTATTTCCATCTGAGATTCGTGCTTGTCTGATATTAAATACTCTAAGTAAACAAACTAAAAAAACAAACAAAAAAGATATTGAATATTCTTAGTTGTTTCTCTGTTCCTAATATTTCTCTTTTATTTTACATTTTTAGCTTTTCTTCTATGTTCTAAGTCTCTCACTGTATTTTTTAGTGATAGAGACTGTCTTTCCTGCTCTTTGGATCCAATGTTGTACCAATGAGAACAACATGTTACTAAATCAAGACCAAATAGATTCATCATTTTAGACTCCATTAGCTAGCTTTACCATATTTTCAAAATCTCAGTCAATAATTCGCCTTTCCTCACCTGAAGCCCTCTAGCTTTTTACTTCCACTTGGAATAAATGTTCTCTAAGTCTGTACAAAACTATCATCTTATCTTCATACCTCTCCTGGTTGAATACATTACTTAGCAGATCTCTTGTCTCCTTTTTTTTTTTTTTTTTTTTTTTTGAGACGGAGTTTCGCTCTTGTTACCCAGGCTGGAGTGCAATGGCGCGATCTTGGCTCACCGCAACCTCCGCCTCCTGGGTTCAGGCAATTCTCCTGCCTCAGCCTCCTGAGTAGCTGGGATTATAGGCATGAGCCACCATGCCCAGCTAACTTTTTGTATTTTTAGTAGAGACGGGGTTTCACCATGTTGACCAGGTTGGTCTCAATCTCTTGACCTTGTGATCCACTCGCCTCGGCCTCCCAAAGTGCTGGGATTACAGGCTTGAGCCACCGCGCCCGGCCTTCTTGTCTCCCTTTTAATTCCCTCTCTTTGCTGCAATATATCCTGAAGTGTCTTCCTAAAGGATGGCTCACAAAAAATACACTTCTGGGTCTCTACCAGGCTGAAAATACATTTAGTTTTCCTTTTTATTTGATTGATGATTTGGCCAGATATAGAATTCTTGCTTGGAAATTTAAAATCATTAATACATTGATTATAGATTTATAATTTTGACAAAAAATTTTATGCCAGTGTGATTCTTGATCCTTTTTATACCCTCACCTCTCTCTCTCTCTCTCTCTCTCTCTCTCTCTCCATATTTCTGTGAAGAAAGAAATTTTCTGTGTCTCGTTCCCTCAGGATTTTCTCTTTTCTTTTTAGATGCCTTGAATTTAATGATAGCATTATAATTTTTTTCATTCATTTTGCTGAACACTAAATGTACTTATGTATTCTAACAATTTATACCTTTTTCTCTCTGGGATTACTTCATTTCTAGTATTATTATTATTTTGAGACTGACCTTACTCTGTCACCCAGGCTGGAGTGCAGTGGTGCAATCTGCAATCTCAGCTCACTGTAATTTCTGCCTCCTGGATTCACATGATTCTCCTGCCTCAGCCTCCTGAGTAGCTGGGACTATAGGTGCCCACCACCACACCCAGCTAATTTTTTTTTTTTTTGGATTTTTTTTTTTCAGTAAAGTCAGGGTTTCACTATATTGGATAGGCTGGTCTTGATCTCCTGGCCTCAAGTGATCCATGAGCATCAGCCTCCCAAAGTGCTGGGATTACAGGTGTGAGCCACTGTGTCCGGCCGACTTCTACTATTGTTTTTTCTTTTCTTTTCTTTTCTTTTTGAGACGGAGTCTCACTCTGTCACCAGGCTGGAGTGCAGCATTTCGATCTTGGCTCACTGCGACCTCTGCTTCCTGGGTTCAAGTGATTCTCCTGCCTCGGCCTCCCAAGTGGTTGAGGCTACAGGCATGCGCCACCACACCTAGCTAATTTTTGTATTTGCAGTCGAGACAGGGTTTCACCATGTTGGCCAGGATAGTCTATTGTTATTTTCTTAATGGTTATATCCCTAAGTTTAATCTTGTTATTTTCTTCTGAAATTTGTGCTTGTCAGATATTGAATATTCTCAATTATTTCTGTTTCTTATATTCTCTTTTATTTTACATCTTTAGCTTTCTTCTATGTTCTGAAGTCTCTCATTTTATTTTTTAGTATTTCTAATGAATTTTTAACCCTAGTGGCATATTTAAATTTCTACGAACTTTCTTGTTGCAAAACATTATGGATTATGTACTAGTGTTATTATTACTTCATAATTATTACTACATTACTACATACTTGACTATTTTCTAAATACCTTATACATATCTCATTTAATCCTCAAAATAATGGAATAATTAGTGTCTATATTTTCAAGTTGAACGAACTAGAATATACAGAGGTAAAGCAACTTTCCCAAGGCCACTGTCCTAATCAATTTGGGCTGCTGTAACAAATAATATAGATTGAGTGGCTTATAAACAACATAAAATTATTTATTACAGTGTTAGAAACTGG